TTAGGAATGACTTTATAGAATTAAATCTAAATGTACTAATCAATACCCAAATATAGGTACAAGTACATTTTTTATTTCCCCCCTAGTTTTATCGAGAAAATACAATTAATGGTTAATATAAAATTAAACATTTTTCCCCGATATAAGCCGCTTTCTTTGCTGAATTTTATTTTGTCTTTTTGATCTTATATCAGCATATTATCGACGTTTTTTTCACAATTGAAATTGCTATGAATTATCAACCAAAAGAAGAGATTCTAATATTAACAAATTCCACAAATCAAATAAAACTGCAATTAAAGATGTATAATTTTTTTTTGTAAATTGTTTACGCTATTGATTATAACCAATGGTAAGCCTATACCACAGATGCAAAAGTCAACAGGTAAAAACAAACGTCGCTATTGTGACGTCGAACGACATAGGTCCCCCCTTAAGAGAGGGGGAATCTCAAAATGCAAAACAATTAGCAAATTTTACTATTTTTATAGAGTACTACAAAATATGACGTAAGCAATGGATTAACAAGAAAACATACAAAAATATTGGAGATATTCTAAAATTTCTATCTTTTAAATTTCAAGAGCATATGTTTATTACTTTTTCTGTAATATTTTTATTACCCCTTTCTTCAAGAGCTTCAGATTACCAAAACGTTATAAATACACTGCAACGACGTCAACCTACCTATGAATTTCAAAATCGGTTATATAATAAGTTATATCAAAATGTGATTACATATTTATATCTATAACTTCTCAATTTTTCTTTAATTTTACTGATTAAGCGAAAAAAGTTGCATTAAAACAATAAATACGCTTTTAATTTCAATTTTAAATATAAAAAAAATCACCTTTGAAAGACAGCAACCTATTAGCATAATAGCCATTTCTAAAACCTTTGAAAAATCTATGAATAATTATGTAAATACTACATTCATATGCCATAATAGTTTTATGTTATCAACAATAATATTGCCATTAATTATGAGGATCACAAACTGATGTCAAATGTGGTATTCTGACAAAATGTTTACAAAACACTTACAAAGCTTTGGTTTATAATCAACAGGCACTTTTAGATGCATCTCAATGTTAAAAGTGATAAGGTTATGTTGTAACCCTGAAAAGAACAGGTGAAATTCTAAACTAATAGAGAGGTGAATATAAATTGGTACCTTGCATATTTCACTAATGTTTGAGCATATTTTAATGACCTCTCATCTTTATCAAGTGACAAGAAATCGAAAACCTTTTTTGCAATTTCATATATGACTTTCGCAGTATTACATGTATATTTGTAACTGTCAAATCAAACATGCATGTTCAAAAGCATGCATTCACAGAAAAAAAAAAGAATAAATCTGACTTTATAATTTTGTAAAAGGGCCCATATTTTTCAATTATAAATTTCAATTAAGCCAAACCATGTCATTTACTGGGATAAAGAGAGTTAATTCTACAAATATGGTGAGCATACATGCATGTCTCACCCTACATCAGCTATAAGTGGATTAATAAATATAAGGAAAAAAGCATTTCAAAAACTCCAATTTTATAAATCTTGTTTTTAAATGAAGCACCTGGTAACCCAAATTATCTCCAAGTCATTTTTTTTCCTATATTGAGTTCCCAATTACTGGTCAGATTTTTTTCTCCACAGGGTGTAGGTTCAATTTAATTATTTTTTTTTCATTGGCAGTAAACATCACAAAAAAATATTTTAAAGAGAGAAGGATTTCAGATGACATATGAACTTTGAGAATTAAGGATTTTCTGCAGTGAGCTGGTTTTTTACCCTATAAGGTGCTCTATTATCAGCTGACATACCCCCCCCCCCCCCCAGAAAAATAAAATTCAAAACAAAAGCATTGCTCAAAGTTCAAAAAATGATCATAAATTCATATGCAGAAGAAACTTAAAGCAAATCTTTAATGCAATGTTCTTTTTCTTACAGCTACATGTAGAAACTTGGAAATGGCATAATCTTTGAGAATCTAAAGCCAATAATGGGGTCAAACTCTGATGATCTTAAGTGACCCCTTGACCCTAGAATATGTACTGAAATGTAGGGTACCTGGACAAAAAAGAATGCAAACAAAGGTTTTCTTAAATGTTTCCTTGCCATCTTAGTTATTAAGCAGTTAAAATGGAATCTGTACAGCGAAAGAAAAATTCAAGAAATCAAGAAAATTAAGAAATTTGTTGTTTTTAATTTTAATTCATTTCAATTCATTTTCATAAAACAGAGACGAAAAAATAACTATAACCCCAAAAAATTGATTAGTAAAATCATCACTCCATTTTAATGAAGGCAATCAATTTTAAGTTCCATTGGGGGGAGGATGAAATGACCAATGAACTCTTGTATAACAGACATTAACCCTCAATCATTTTTATCCTTCAGGAAAAGCAGAAAATCGTGATTACGACTGAATCAATCTATGAATGTATAAACCCAACAGAGATTTCTATAGCTACCTGGGCAAATATGGGACTCTGTAGTAAATAATTTGTATTCTGCAATATCATTATTTTCATATACATGTATTCATCAATGCTGACTTATTTTAATAAGATTGCATTTGATAGTGGGAAGACGGCTATTTGGACCTTGGTGTTGTCAATAATTAATAAACATAATTCATTGAAATTGCACAAGTTGATTAAAATTTTTCTCCTTCATTGTTGCAAAGACATTAGTTTGATGAAACTCGAGGCAGAAGCCTTAATTCTTTGAGATATTTGTAAATCCATGTAGCAAACAGAGGGATTGAAAAGTACACACCAATTTTATCTAGTCCTCAGCTGAGTATATATTATTATTACCGGTATATACATTGTAGTCAACCAAAAAAATTTAAAACCATTTTTTGTCAAACACTCCTGGGGTCAACTTTGAGGTTTGAAGCTTTCAATTTCATATGAAACCTGAACTCTATCTTCCATCAGGAGACAATTAAAATTTAATTAACTAGTACAGTATCTTTCTTTCTTTTGTACAAGTATAACTCCAGAAAAATTGGAAACCCATTATATCATAATACAGATGAATCACCATTACTTGTAATACAGGATGTGCCTATGATGTTTTGAGTAAAGAAGTTGATGGCAACTCCTTGTGGCTAATTGGTGTAAAAATCCATTCATGTCCAGTTCCCTTAATCAATTCGATATTGTCGACATCGCAATGTAAACAATGTTGATACGATATCATGTTTACATCGTCTACATTGTAATTGTTTCTACATGACGACATCGTCAACGTCGACATCGCAATGTAAACAATGTTGATACGATATCGTGTTAACATCGTCAACATTGTCATTGTTTCTACTTGACGATAACGTCAACATCGCAATGTAAACAATGTCGATACGATATCGCGTTTACATCGTCTACATTGTTATTATTGCTACATGACGACATCGTCGACGTCGACATCGCAATGTTGACAACTTTGATTTGATATCGCGTTTACGTCGTCTACATTGTTATTATTTAAGAAATGAATTTAATTTTTGAAGATTCATGAGGTTATGAACTACGACGCTTCACGCCGGCAAATTTCATGAAGCGCGTTAGATGTTGAAAAAGACAATGTTGACACGATGTCGACTCGATATCGACCAACATTGCAATGTCGACGATGTGAACGATGTAAACAAGATAAAAAGAACGCAATGTTGACACGACCAACATTACGATGTCGACGATGTGAACGATGTAAACAAGACAAAAAGAACGCAATGTTGACACGATGTCGACTCGATATCGACCAACATTGCGATGTCGTCGATGTGAACGATGTAAACAAGAAAAATAAGAAGGGCAATGTTGACACGATGTCGACTCGGTATCGATCAATATTGCTATGTCGACGATGTGAACAATGAAAACAACAGAAAGGGGGAAAGAAATGTTAACAAGATGCTGACGTTATATTGTTAAACAATGTAATATGTAGAGATAAACAAAGGAATTATTGTCATGTTGAATATGTTATGATATTAGGAGGACTGGTATGTTTACAGCGATGTCGACAATATCGAAAAAACATCGTTATATCTATTAAGATATAAATTACTATCCAACTGTGGGGCGTGATCGAAGACCGGTCCATCGGATGAGGCTGAATTAACCGAGATCCCGTGTCGAAATAGGTGCTGGTACGAAAAAGATCAAGTGCTGCGTTTGGCCGTAAGTGCCAAGTATAGGAAAAAATTGCGGCTCTCCACCGACAAGTGGTGGTGTATCCATATTAGTGAAAAAATCTCGAAAGGGACGTTAAACAACAAACAAAGAAACATGTTAATGATTATATGCTTCAGTTATCGTACTTTGGAATTGGCATTGGGGAACTGGAATCTTGGTTAATGTTGCTAACTCCCTCAATGATATACTTTTACTGTATAATATTAGCTGCCTTGTTGGGATGCAGATACCGATTAAAAGGAATGACGTCAATTTTCTCTATACGAAAAAAAGAATCAGAACAAAAGACACAAAAGATCGGAACATATGAAAATACCAGTGGATAAGAACCTAGCGAACGAGGAAAGAGAAATGGATCTCTAACAAATATAAACAAGCATCCGATCATAATTTCAATCGGCATTCTGACAAGGCAATTCACTTTTTGAACAGATTTGCACAATCAAATATTTTTTTGTCTTTCAAAGACTATGTCTGTTTTTTTTTTTTCATTTTCAGTATTCTAAATTAAAAGTAAATTTTGAAAATATGTATAGTAGCGCTCTGTGATAACATGTTATAAAATCATAAAAAAAATTGATCATTACTTCGCATAATCATCTTTCTAGAACATTAACTGAATTTTAAAATCCATAACCCATGAGGGGAAAATGAACAGAGTAGATATGTATTAAAAGCTTGTTTATTTTTCTTGATCGCTTTCAACATTGATAAGCATTAAACAGGGAATAAAAAAAAGATATACATCTTACTAAAAGCATCATGTATATTTTCAGGGTGAACTGCAATAGTTAAAATACAAAAATAAACCAGATCATGTCCCATTCAAAGTACGCCTCTACACCACAAACAACTAACTTAGCACGGATCTCCCGCCTGATACTGGGACCCTGTGCTGATATCATGAGGGATGTACTTCTCAACGAGGTTCCAACGACTGACCTGTCCAGGAGAGTTAAAAACTGGATAAAGTCGGAAAAGAGGAACCCACTTAATAAATCGCAAACTGATTTGTTGTTCCCTCCGCAGTCAAATATCTATGGTGGAAATTATTCCGATATGGATATATCCTTGCTCTATATTCTCTTACGTAATGTGACAAATTTACCTGCACACAATCAAGGTTGGGGTAATGATCCTGACCCTACAGATAGAAGTGTATCGGCAAATATGGAGCGTATAAGGCTCATCAGAAACAAACACTATGGACATGCTGTTGAAATAGGCATACCTGATGCCGATTTCCAGAGTGAGTTTATGATTATTAGCAAAATCGCCGAAGATGTTGATATTTATTTTGGCGTCTCAAAACATCAGGAATCAGTAGACTTTATAAAAAGAGAAAAAATGGACCCAGAACAGGAAATGAAATGGATAAAGCAGCTTACAATAATAGGTACGACTATTGGTATATACAATAGTTGAATCCACACTTTTCAAAAGTTATGTCCCTTTGCCGCCTTCTTGGAGAAAAAACCCATAGAATCCTCATAGTAGCCTTTGTAGTTTTTGGCTTTGTAACTTTGTCATTTGACTGGGAAAAAATCGTCGCATTGTGTATTCTGATTGCCCTATACTGGGACTATCCATGTTATGAAAGAAAACAGTTTAAACACAATGGATTCATCGGAACTTGCCAAAATATTTTTAGCATAAAAATGAGAAATGTGACATTTCTCTACCTTTTGACCTTTTGGTTGATCCCGCAAAGGAACACAACTTTTGTAAACTGTGGATTGGACTAATTTTTTTATTCAAAATTAAGTCTTTCTCTTTAATTACACACAATCATTAAAAAAAAATGTATAATTGGTTTTAAGCCCAAAATCGTTTGTGGTTTGTAATTTGCTTTGCCTATTAAAGCATGACATGCTTTTTTTTAGCAGAAAGATAATTTGAATATAGATATTATTACAAATTGAGTTCCTTCATCGTTCCTTTGTAATCCTTATCTTGGCAAATGAATTTATAAACGTTTTAAGAGTACATGAATATTGTTAAAATTTGAAACGCAGAAGCTCCATATGTTTCACATCAGTATGGATATCATAATGATCATGGACCACAGGGCGGGGATTTAAAATTTGTGATCATGAGCATATATACAAGAATTGTCTGGAGGTGTGAAATGTTACAATAACCTCCCAGAGTCTATGCCAAATATAGATAATATTAAAAAACAGAAAAGGCTTAAAGCATTTACATGTACATGTAACATTGAAAATTTCAATACAAATAATTAACGTACCTTAAAGATCAAGACATTACTACATGCAGTAAATTATAGCATAGACATTTGTTTAAGCAGAGTCGCTGGTCTCAGATGTAGAGGAAAACACCAGAGAAATACTGGAACTGAAACGTAAGTCATCAGTTGCAAACTGAATCAAAGTTAGATATCACCGTTAAAATTTGCCAGTACTTTATCAATCGTTTTTGTTTTTAGTATTAATTATGTTTGTTCCACGGACATAGTGTGATTCAATACCAGTTGTATGTACAGGAAAGTAAATTTATAATAAAAATAAACTTAAATAATAATTCAGATTATAAGAAGTTAATAAAGTAAAGACAATATTCTCCTGACATTGTCAACTTTACTCTTTACAGATAAAGAAGAAAACACGGGGTTTAAGAATTTTGGTAAGTTTGGCTTTGTTATACTGCTCTTAGTTCAATATTTTAATAAAAATCAACAAAGTAAATATTCATTGTATTGTTTGATACATTCCCTGCCTCATACATGTCATATTTACTTATCATAGTTTGCAAAATAGATGAAACATTTTATATTGATTCGTGGAAAAATGTAACTGTTTAGCAATAGAAAAGAAATCTTCATGTTTATCTTCATAAAATCTCTTACACCTGCAAATCTTTCCATTACTTTAGCCATTTTTTCTGCTTTAAAAATATTTTATAAATTGTCTTTAACTATTGTTCATCTATGTCATCTAAAAAAAAAAGTTAAGTTGAATAAATTAGGAATTAGTAAATGCATGTATAGCACCTTTTTCAAAAGTTTTGGTTCGCCAACGTGGCGCAGTGGTTAGAGCGTCTGCTCTAGAGTAGCAAAGTAAAGATTTGATCCTTACGTCGCGGGTTAGAATCTCACTATGGAGCGTGGAGAATGGTTCTTCAGTTGAGACCGTATAAACCGAGGTGCCGAGTCACAGTAGGTGCTGGCACGAAAGATACCCTAGATACTTCACTGCTCAATGTCCATATATATATATATATATATATATATATATATATATATATATATATATATATATATATATATATATACAGTGGACCTTCAGATATCCGGACGCCAGATATCCGAATACTTCAGTATCCGGACAATTTTTCATCGGAACGAAATTTTAAACTGTTATTCTGCCTTGTTTAACTGGTGATTCCGATAGCCGGATACTTCACATATCGGGACAAATTGACTGGGAACCAAAGCGTCCGGATAAATGAGGGTCCACTGTATATATATATATATATATATATATATATATATATATATATATATATATATATATATATATATATATATATATATATATATATATATATGAAAATTATTTTAAATAAATAAAAACACAGAGAACGAGTAAAACATAAGCGCTTTCATTTCTTCTTCATGATGTTTTACAATATACATATACAATATACATATTGTTATGGGTCAGAATTAGCCAGCAAAGATCAATAACACAATTTAAACTTAACAATAATTTATTTACAGTAATATATTATAAGTATATGAAACATAAAGTACAAACTTAGCAAGAATCCAAAAATACATACATCAGAGTGTCCGTTGCTGCACACAATGTCCCAGTGAAAATATATCCCAGTTGTATCTCAATGATGCTCATACGACAAAGTATTATCTATGCATCGAATTGACAGGGTATTTATACAGTATCATAAATCCAGAATATTCTAGAAATTGTTAAAACATGATATTACTGGAACAATCTGGACATACACAAAATTTAACAATGTTCTAGATCAAATGGCCAAACATGTTGACCACTCTGGAATGTTCAAGAAACTTAATGTTTCTAATTATATACATAATGAAACAATACACATCTCACAACACCTCCCCCCTTAAAAGGTTTGAATGTCAATGAAAACTTATATTGTAAAACATGTACATTAATACAAAATCTAATTTGTTCATGATACTCTGGACAATGCATCTGCAATAACATTATCTTTGCCTTTGATATGCTTAATTGTTATGTTGTATTCTTGTAACAACAAACTCCATCTAGTCAGTCTTTGATTCTTGTTTGACAATTTATGCAAAAATGTCAGGGGGTTGTGATGAGTATATACAAGAATTGGATGCAAAGTAACATTCAAATAAACATCAAAAATGCTGTAAAGCTAACAACAAAGCAAGGCATTCTTTTTCAATAGTAGAATAATTTCGTTGACATTTTGTAAGTTTCTTTGAAAAATAAGAAACAACTCTATCTACCTTATCACTATGTTCTTGAAACAAAGCTGCCCCGATTCCAACATCACTAGCATCAATAGTAAGCTTGAATTGCTTAAAAAAATCTGGAGTTGACAGAACTGGGTTGCTCATAAGGACAGATTTGATTTTATGAAAGGATTTTTCACAGTCTTTTGTCCATTCAAAGTTAACCCTCTTTTGTAAAAGATTTGTAAGTGGACTAACAACTGAGGAAAAATTTGGACAAAATTTTCTGTAAAACCCAGCCATGCCCAAAAACCTCATTAATTCTTTCTTGTTTGTAGGAATCGGGAACTTTGCAATAGCTTCCACTTTAGCCATTATGGGTGTAACATAACCTTGACCTACTTTATGACCTAAATACTCTACATAAGCATGACAAAATTCACTCTTTTCAAGGTTCACAGTTAAGTTTGCTTTAGCTAAAATGTCAAATAAAGCACGCATGATTCGGAGGTGTTCGTCCCATGTGTCGCTGTATATGATGACATCATCAATGTAGGCCTCGCATCCCTCAAGGTCTTGAAGAAGGGAGTGAATCATCCTTTGGAATGTAGCTGGTGCGTTTTTCATGCCAAAAGGCATTACTTTATACTGGTAAAGTCCATCTGGTGTAGCAAAAGCAGATATTTCTTTTGCTCTTTCTGTTAACGGCACTTGCCAGTAGCCTTTCAACAGGTCAAATTTACTGACAAATTTCGCGTTTCCAATATTGTCAATACAGTCATCGATTCTAGGTATTGGATATGAATCAGTTTTGGTAACAGAATTCACCTTTCTAAAGTCTGTACATAATCGGTAGGAACCGTCCTGTTTTGGTACAAGAATACATGGTGAGCTCCAGTTACTTTTACTAGGTTCAACAATGTCATTGTCCAACATGTACTGCTCTTCCCTTCGTAGGTACTGCAATTTTATTGGATTAAGACGGTACGGATGTTGTTTGATAGGTAGAGCGTCGTCCACTATGACATCATGACAAGCTGCATTAGTTTTCTTTGGAACATCCGAGAAGATTTAATGATACTTATTCATCAAGTTTTTAACTTGTTCTTTTTGGTGAATGTTCAAATGTCCAAGTTTGGCATCAAAATCAGCCAAAATTTCTGAGTTTTTCAAGCGGACACTCTGACTACAATCTTTCTCATTCATTTCTACACTCGTATCACTTTCAATATTTTGAACAGTCTTAGCATTGGCTAAAGTGGAAACTGGTTTTACAGAATTTCGGTCACACCTTTCAAAATACTCTTTTAACATGTTAATGTGACAAACCCGTTTCTCTTTACGTCGACCTGGTGTATTAACTACATAGTTTACATCACTGATCTTGCTTTCAATTTCATAAGGGCCATAAAATCTGGCCTGTAAAGGATGACCAGGAATAGGTAAAAATACAAGAACCTTATCACCTGGCTTAAACACCCTATTTCTGGCATCTTTGTCATACCATATTTTCATTTTCATCTGAGAAGTCTTAAAATTTTCTTGTGCTAGTTTACAAGCATTGTAAAGTTTTTCTTTTAAATCAGACACATAATCTAAAAGATTAAGATCACTAGTCTCAGTCAGCCACTTTTCCTTCAACAATTTCAAAGGACCTCGAACTGTATGACCGAACACCAATTCAAATGGACTAAACCCAAGAGACTCCTGGACTGCCTCTCGTGCAGCAAATAGTACAAGATGAACCCCTTCGTCCCAGTTTTTTTCATACTGGTAACAATAGGTTTTCAACATTGTTTTTAGGGTTTGATGAAAACGTTCTAGCGCTCCCTGGGACTCAGGATGATAAGCAGTTGATCTATATTGCCTTATACCTAACTCATGCATGACTTGCTGGAACAACCCCGACATAAAATTTGAGCCTTGATCCGACTGAATTGCCTTTGGTGCTCCGACAAAACTGAAAAATTTGGTTAGGGCCTTAACTATGCTCTTTGCCTTTATATTCCTTAGAGGTATGGATTCAGGAAATCGAGTGGATGTACACATAATGGTAAGTAAATACAGGTTCTCAGATCTGGTCCTAGGCAAATGTCCTACACAATCCACCAACACTCGACTAAACAGTTCTTCAAAAGCTGGAATGGGTTGGAGAGGAGCAGATTGTATTTTCTGATTTGGTTTACCTACCATCTGACAGACATGGCATGACTTGCAAAACTTCGAAACATCCTTTCTTAGCTTAGGCCAATAAAAATGACTCAAAATCCTATTATAAGTCTTATTGACACCTAAATGACCTGCCATAGGTGTATCGTGAGCTAAACTCATGACATCTCGATGATAAGCAGCTGGGACTACTATCTGGTGAACAACACGCCACACTTCATCTGGAGAAGCGTCAGGTGGTCGCCATTTTCGCATTAGGATGCCATCTTTCATATAGAAGCATTCTCCAACTTTAATAGCCTCTTCTGGTGGAAGTGCCCTCTTACTAAGTTGAATGATATCTGGGTCTTTATGTTGTTCAGAGAGTAAACGTTCTCGGCTGAGGATGTCCTTGCCTTGGCTAACTAGTGGATGCAACTCATCATCCTCACCACCAAATTTTGGTAAAAGTTCTTTCTTCTCTTGCTTCTTGATATTGTGTGGTTCCTTGCTTGTTTGAGTGCCATCAAGGTCAGATAAGAAAGTGTCATTCAAATCAATATCAACAGAGGAATTCGTCTTGTCAAAGGCTTGAGTATGGTCTGCCTCCATTTCTCGTCTTCTGGCCATCGCTCTGGTAACAGCACAGGCTGGATAAATGTCATCATCTTCATCATCGCACATGACACTGGAAGTGATTTTCTCACAAACTATAGGATCAGGTACAACCTTCCCACCAGCTAAATCGTTGCCTAACAACAAAGAAATGCCTGGAACGGAAAGAGTAGGTCGAACACCTACGATA